GCGGTTTTCCCCTTATTGTGAACGTCCGCGTGCGGGTGCCTTTGCTACCCGGAGCGGACGTTGTACTGTTGTTCGGGGTGCCGCCAGAGGCAATAAAGTGTTGTGTACTTTTGCATTAGAACACTGTCTATTTTCGCGCCGCGCTAAACGCCTTATTAGTTGAGCGCGCGCGGAGCAGTGCGCTACACGCGAGTAAACGGAGTAAACGGAGTAGCGGCCCTGTGGCTCACTAAGCGTGAACCCGCGGTGATCGTCCGCTGCAGTTAGTAGCGGGGTCACCACACTGGCGCCCAACGCGTTATCAAAGGCTCATTAAAGCCTTTGGTTAGTCTTAGCGAGTCAGTTCGCCTGCGCGATTCGGGCTCGTCGCAACATGTCTGCTTCGTGGCATGCCGCGTTGCACAAAGAGGCCACCGCCTCTATCGACGGGCGCCCTTCGGCGCTGGCCTGTGTCGTCACCCCTTTTTGTGGTGAATACACTCCTACGTGGTAGCTGACGCGCTATCTCATGCCCTCTGTTGTCTGCCGAGAACTTGGATTTCGGTGCGACGGCCGCTCGCGGTGCCTTAGCACATGCAAGCGTCGGGGGCGAAACAGCGGCGAAAAGGGGGAATCCCCATGAGGACGACCTTGGCTGCTATCCAGGTAAGCGGCGCACTGCGTAGCGGCCGAGCGGGGGGAACTTTCCGAAGGCCACCGTGCCGAGAGCGAACCCGTGACGCCGTGCATGCTGCGGTTGCTGCGGTCCTGAGTAGGCGCGATACCAGACTCCCCCATTTGGGAGAATGGGAATTGCATTCGGCAGCGAAGAGCTACTGAAGGCTCAGCAGAGTGATCCGTTTCGAGTCTCGGAGGGACGGAGCGCCGTATACGCTGCTTGCTTTGCGGCGGGCGCTTTTAAACCGTCTTGAGAGGCGCGGAACGCCGTTACGCTGCTTGTTCTGCGGCGGGCGCGATTAGGGGGCTGAAACAGCGTGTGTCGCTGAGTCCCCGGCGGATTCATTTTGCTGGACCATAACGGGCTCCTGCTGAACTATATAGCCACTGACGACGAGTCCATCGACCCGTTAAGGTGGTTATGCCCAAAAGTCTGAGAGCCGCACTGTTGCGAGCCTCTCACGACGAGCCCATTGCCGGTCACCTGAGTGGCTCTAAAGTTTTTGCGAAACTGAGCAAGGTTGTGACTTGGCTTGGCATGAAGCGTGACATTTTTCGCTATTGCCGTTCCTGCCACGTCTGTCAAACGGTGAAATCAAGGGGTGGCAAGCCGCCCGGCTTGATGAAACGGATTGTCAGTGAGCGTCCGTGGCAAGTAGCCACCTGCGATCTAATGGGGCCGTTCCCCAGGGAGTAAGCAGGGGTTCATACATCTGATGGTAGTTGTTGATCATTTTTCCAAATGGGTGGAGCTGTTTCCGCTGCGGAAAGTGACAGCGCGAGCAGTGCTAGAGAGGCTACAGGAAGTGTTTTGTCGGTTCGGCTTTCCGAAAAGATTGATCACGGACAATGCGTCGTATTTCACCGCTCGGGTGTTTGGTGATACGTGCCGTTCCCTAAGAATAGATCACTGCACCACTTCACCCTACCATCCCCAGTCCAATTTGACGGAGCGAACCAATCGTACGCTCAAACCGATGTTGGCGGCCTTTGCCGAAAGTCAAAGGGACTGGGCAGACCATTTGAGTGAGCTCGTGTTTGCAATCCGAACCTCCGAGAGTCGCTCTACTGGTTTCTCTCCCGCCTTCCTTAATTTCGGAAGGGAGTTGGCGAATCCGGTGACCAGTGTCATGCAATGCCAGCTCGGGACGAGGAAGAACCGGCAGACTGTTCTGCTTACGCTTCCACACTTCGGGACAGGCTTTGTCGAGCTCTCAGTAGAGCGAGGCAGAGTTTGGCATCGGCCAGGGCTGAGCAAAAGGCCCAGTACGACCGTAAACGTCGCCACCTTTCATTTAAGGTGGATGACCTCGTCCTGAAGCGCAACCACGCTCTTAGCGACGCGAGCAAGGGTTTCTCAACTTCGCTCGCTCCAAAGTGGCTTGGTCCGTACCAGGTGGAAAAAGCTTGGACTCCACTCGCGTACTTGCTGAAAGACCCGCTTTCGGGAAAACTCAGCCGTGCCCACATCGCAGACCTGAAAGCCTTTGCGTCGAGGTCTGACGAGCCTGCGCCAGGGCCCAGTGGCTCTTCGCGCAAGCAACGGCGCACACCCGGCGCGGCGGACTGCATGCGGACCACGCACCGGTATAATTTGAGGAAGCGGTCACCTTAGTGATTTCGCGCCGGACGGCGGGCTTATTTCCGCAACCGAAGGCCCTCATTTTTACTGTCTAGTCTCAGTTAGCTAACTTCTTTACCGCCAGTGCTTGCAAAGAAGTCGGTTCCGCCCAGTTACTGCTGCTGATTGTCATTTTAGTGGTGTTGTTTACTTGATGTTTTTTTCCGTGTTTTCTTTTTTTTCTTCTCGCTGGAGGAGGGGATTGTGATTGGTGCTTTAGCGGGGGGAGAGGGACAAAGGACACTCCGTGCTTCCTTTGCGGTGCGCGTTTGGAGAGACCTGACCATCGGAGGTGTGTGTGCGTGTGTGCGTGCGTGTGGCAACAACTTAAGTCACCGACCCCTACACCACCTTGCACCCTGGAGGTGTTCGGAGACCAGCCCGGTTGCGCCCTGCTCCCGACCGTCGCCGATAAGCTCTGCTGGCCTTTCTATCACAGCTGCTGCACGAGGCCAGCTGTCGCAGACGCTGTGCACGACTCGACTAACGCCGCAGGACGCCTCGCAGCTAGTGGATTTGGCGACCTCCACCGAGGCGGCGTTCGTCAGACTAGCAGGCCTGTCGTCAAGATCGACGAGATGAAGTCACCCAAGTCAAACATTACGTGACGCTGCCCCTCCGAGCCGTGGACGCGCTCTTGCGTGAGCATCATGAACTCCCGTTACCCCTCTTCCGCGGAGCCATAGTATTCCTCAAGTGTATTCTTGTGTTGTTTTATCTTTTTTTTTTCTTCAGCAACAGTTACAGAGCGAGGCTGAGGCTAGCTGTTGCCCATTGCATGACGCCTCTGTATGTATGGCCGACGACCGGCTGCCTTTGGAGACCGGTATATAGGGTGAATTAAGGAGAGGAGGATGTGGAAATCTGAGGCGCGCCTGCAACCATTTTCGCGGGCATTCCGCCACACGGCCACACCCTTTTGCTTTCCTGCTCTGTTAACACCACGTGGCGCCATCTATCGCCACAAGCGGGCACGGCACGCGGTACGCGCGTGCCGAGGGAGCGCTCTCTTCTCCGTGGTCGGCGCCGGGTAAGCACGTGTTTTCCTTCGTCCGCGTCCCCTTTGGGACTCGCGGACTGTAGCCTACCTGGGGTGGCCTTGGGCACCTCGGCAGGCGTGTTTACTTGAGTGCTGGCTTCGGTAGCGTACGCTAAGCCCAGAGCGGTGCCTAGTGCTTGAAGTGGTCGTACCACAACGAGCCGCACTTGCCGTAGGCCTATGCGTACGAGGTTTGCCCTAACACTCACGACCAGGCCCATTGGCCATCGTGAGAGTGCGCAGCATAGCCGCGAGGGACCTTTTCCCGACCGGCGTGTCAAAGCTCGCCATTGCCAGCTGCGACGTGCTCGCGGTTTTCCCCTTATTGTGAACGTCCGCGTGCGCGTGCCTTTGCTACCCGCGTCCCGGGAGCGGACGTTGTACTGTTGTTCGGGGTGCCGCCAGAGGCAATAAAGTGTTGTGTACTTTTGCATTAGAACATTGTCTATTTGCCGCGCCGCGCTAAACGCCTTATTAGTTGAGCGCGCGCGGAGCGGTGCACTACACGCGAGTAAACGGAGTAGCGGCCCTGCGGCTCACTAAGCGTGAACCCGCGGTAATCGTCCGCTGCAGTTAGTAGCGGTGGGGTCACCACAAGGTTCTCAAAATGCATCAAAGTGTTAAAGATTGGGTTTCCTATATAGCAATAAATATGCGAGCCAGGAATATCATCGTGAAATTTCATTGAAGCGGGATGGCAGAAGAAAAAGTGTTCATTGCGGCGACAATATTTATGCATCGACTTATATGGACTGCTGACGGGGAATCCTGAATTTTTCGTTGAACAGAAAATTTCGTTGAAGCAGCATTCGTTGTAACGGGTTTCGACTGTACCACTGTCATGACTGGTAGTACCTGACTTTCACTATAGCAATCAATTACAATGATGTACGCACGAACAATCATTGCCCACCCCAATCCTGTCACCACACCTACCTCCCACCAAGATCACCGAATTGACAGGGTCAACAGATTTCTTGAAAATGGGCTGTGGATGAAACCTGAGTAGTGAGTGAACATTGCTAAAAAATACTGGCCCAAACCCTTCTGATATAATATAAAGCCTCATTGTACCTTAGGAAACATGTTACCAAGCCCAAAGCTCGCACCCCTGTGAACATCAAAGCGGGGTCGCTTACAAGGCATCGTACGGTGGTCGCGACGCCACATACATTGGCAAAACAGGCCGGAAGCGATCAATGAGGCTCAAAGAGCACACAGGGGACAATGCAAAAGCTACCCATGTCACACATTCCAAGGCAGAACTCGTAAAACGCTACTGGAAAGCGAGGCACATCTTTAACTTTAGTAATACGACGACACTGGCTCGGCAACAACTGCAGGGGAAGAGAAAACTTCTCGAGTGATGGTTCATCCGCTGCGACAAGTCGGCATGCAACAACAACCATGGCCCTCTGCCGGATGTGTATAGAGACGTACGAGACTAGCAGTAGACTATGTGACCTTCCCACATTTAGTGCCAGTGCATACTGAAGATGCCACCTGCATAGGTGGCAAAGTCTTTGTATTTCTTGTTATATATATTGCTGTGAACCTGGAGTACACATTTTTAATCATGTTATCTTAAATATGGGCTCTGCACAAATTACTATTGCTTCACTGAGATGAAAGCACCATGCATTACAACATAAAATGGCCGCTCAAGCAGTTGGTCGTGCTCACCCCCTCCACAGTGTCCTCCGTGGTTGGCTCAGCAGGATCGTAGAGGTCATCAGCCTGCGTGCCAGAGGCCCTCTCTGCTTCATTCTCCGCCGCAGAAGCCTCTCCTTCAGATGCTCCTTGCCTGTTGGGCTGCTCTTGATCTTTTTGAGCACCGTCACGATGTGGTGCTCCTCTCTTCGACGCCGGAGATCGCGACCGCTCGCCACTAGGACCATGGCGCTTCCGGTCTCCACGACCTTGGCGATTTCCGTATCGGTCATCGTATCCATGACGTGGCCGGTAGCGGTCCGGCTGCACAACCCAATACTGGAGTCAAATAGTGCTGAACAATGGCATAAGAAACTGTAAGCCTATCCAGAGTTTGGTTCAGGGCACAAGTATAAGTCCAAAGTAACCACCTAACAGGGACCACGACGCTATCATCCAGCTATTCTCAAATGGTCATTTAAGCACCTACAGACAGCAAGAGAAAGCTAAGCCTAAAGGTCATGTGGCCCAGAGCCGGCATGCAGCAATGCCTCTTGAAGCACTCGTTGCGAGTTTCGATTACAAAACGAAGCACTATTGCAAATCACTGTTTCTGAAAACTGTGCCACATGATCGCTGACATGTCATGAGTAATGAACAAAGCGCCCAGGTGTCCGTTTAACCTGGTTTGAACACCATGGGTGCTGTGCACCACAGGTTCACAACCATACAAGTTCCGTACCATGCACTATGGACGAGTATTTAGTGCTGCTACCAAGTGGGTCTCTCGCTACCTGAAGACACCGATGTGCGGAACACGCGCATAAGCGACCGCATGCAGCAGTGTCGACATGAAAACTGCAACGACCCGAGGAACGTGCAATACACAACAATCAACCTGAGAGTCAAAATCCCACCACGCATGCCACTCGGTTAGGGTGGCTAACTCAGTGGCTTTCACGAAGTGACAGTAGCACCAGAACACACAGCCTAGCTAGCAGAAGCAGTACGCTCAATGCACGGCAGCACATTTTCGCGGAGTCACGCATATTTACAACAGCCCACAGGGTATTATGGCAGCACTGTAGGAGCCTTCGTGACCAGAAAGGTTTCAAGTAAAGAACACACTAGGCCACGTTTTTTTTTTTCTTGGTATTCTTGGCACTGCTCAGAAAATCATGTCAACTCAGCCTTTTTTTTTTCCACTGAAGCTGAGGTTGGCATAAAAATTCTTGCTTGTTTCAGAGCAGTATGATACAGTTTTCGCGATTTTTATGCTTTTAGAGCAGCTTGGCGCAAAAAAATGGAAGTGTATCAAAAATGTGCAATATGCGCAGTTGTCTCACCCCTGTAAGTTGCACATACATGACTGGTCTCAAGCATTTATTTTGTGGGGCACATATTGCGGTCAAAGTATCGATATGCCTTCCTTAACCTGACATGAAACACTCTGCTGAAACGATGCCCCATATATGAGACATGTGAAAGGCCGCCTTTCAAATTGTAACACTAGCTGACATCGTAGAAAAACTCTACACCGTACCCCCTTCCCCCTCACTTTAACCTTCACCACTGTCCTGGCCATTGCCGGACTAAATTTCGTGACTGCAGCCCGCTAGCCGAGGAGTTTGAGACCCCTGGTTAAGGACTTGAAAAAAGAAAGAAAATGTGGCTGTAAAAAATCTTCTGAACTTACTTAAAGCAATGTTTGCCTAGAGAGATTTTTTGTGGATTTTTGGGATCCCTAGCACTGACGTGGTGCAAAACATTTATGAATGGATAGAGTATAAGGCTCATTTAGGAGAAGTTGGGCTAGGTCAAGCTGCTTTAATTAAAAGTATTTCTTTCTCAATTCCATCTTTTTCGAACTGGTATGAAATAAGGCTTTGATTTTTGTTGATCACTTGCATACTTCAATAAGTTCTTCCCACTGGCAGTTACTGTCATTTCAGCATTGACCGTGCAATGTCAAAACATCCAGAGAACACTGCTGTATTGTCGGCTTCGTGTTGGGCTTTTGGATATGGGACACACCTGCCCTGGCCTGACAAATATTGAAAAGCAAGTACTATTTTTGCTTCGCCTCCTCAGGTGGCGTGAAATGATACAGCACAGCTTGGCCTTAGAGTCGTGGTTGCAATTTTTTAAACTGCATGGGAAGAAACAAAGGAGGGGGGGTGGGGGTCACAAATTGAAAACAGTGACAGCAAATACCTCGGGCTGCCTGCCAAATTGCACATGTGAAGACAAAACCACACTGATGCTGAGCCATACATTGACTACACACCTAATTTTGTCCCTCATTCCCACTGTTTGACGTTAAAAAGTTTCTATACCATTAGCAAATTATGCCAGCTTACTGCAAGACACAGTTCAACTTGCAATGTGTGATTCACGCTAGAAATTATGGTATGGCCCTTCTAATGAAAGTGTATGTTTCATCAAGGGTAAGGCTAGTGGCTCAATTCATAAATGCTGTTAGGCTCCATAATTTCAAGGCTGCAAGCTATTACAAATGAAGGACTTCAGGCATCCGTACAAGTGCAAGTTAACCTCCTCAGAGATTTAGTTTGACCCTAACTCCTCAGTTTTCTTGCGACTCCAAATTCAATGGTATGCAGATGCAATTGCAGCATAAGTAAAAAAAGAAAATTCCAGGGTGCTTTTAATGGCTCCACTGCTGACACAACGCAAAGTGCCTAGCTCATTGAAGCAGAGCACTCCCACGGTGCAAAAACGGAGTTGCCCCTCGACAATCCTGGCAGTGTGTGGCCACGGAAATTAAATGCACTCAGTTTGACAGTAAGCCAGCAAACGTAGATGATGAAAGAATGCTTTCATAAAATTATGTGCGCCCTGATATTTCACAATATTTTCACATGACAACATTCACAAATTAAAAGCATGCAACAAAAACTTCAACAGCATTCAAATGTTCATGTTACAAGCCCGGGTCGCGTTAAACCTTGCACAACGTCCGATGTTATATCCATCCATCCAGAGAGACTAGGTGGCGACAGAATAATGCAAAGCATCTCCAATTTTACTCCAATTCCAATGAGCCACCCCTGAAAATACATGCAGGCAAATAATAGCACACTAGCAGCTTCCAGTAGCAAAATGAATGGGCTGCTTCATACGCTGTGAGGATTCTCTGCACACAATCTATTCAGCCTCACTCCTGGGTTTTGTGCCAATATTAATTTAGGATCACCATTCAAAAGAAATACGTTACTAAAGAGGTGCTGCCATCCATGATAACGTCGTCTGAGAAAACAGAAAACTAGTACAGTAAGTCCATTTTTGGCTGCAGCAGTAGCCTCTTGCTTTCAATGAATGAGGGTAATATTTGAATCTATGCGGCCCCAACATGATGATCACTGAAGGGTGCACCACCAGACAAATAATCTGTGGTAACTGGTAATTTCATTTTCGGAATAAATTTACAGGACGCTGTACTTCTAGCTAACCCCATAAGGCAAACCATTATCACATTGAGGCTTATTACTAAACAAAAGTTTGTTATAAAAAGTGGCTAAATGCGTGAACAGCGATGCACGTGCTAGCGACTAAGGGTCGCACCAGGCTTTATTGTGCCCACATCTGCTGCCGCTCCTCCAACTCTCGACGTCCCCCTTTGCGACTGAATGATGATGCCAAATATGAATGACGAATGCGACAGCCGCCCCCAGGTCTGCCCAAGCAATCATCTCAAGGACAATCTCAAGTCAAAAGCGGCTTCGCCGAGCATAGCACAATGCCTGCCTTATCACGGCTGCAAGTTCGACTGCAGCCTCCTTCCAGGACCTTTTTTTTTCCAAAGTGCAACCAAATGCACGAGGGACATCAACAGGCCCATGCTGGTTCGTTTTCGGACAAAAAAGGTATACAAGTGTCACACTGTGAGCAACAAACAACGGTATACCAAAATCAAAGGATAAAAACATGAGAGATGACGGGCCAGCCTTGAACATCGGCTCTCACCTGATCATAAGGCCGTCTAAAGTTTGTATGAGAGGAAACGTTGCCTCGGTACCGCATCATGTCGGGTGCCACGCTACCACCACCCATGAAGGGCAGGCTACCCTGTGGTGCCCACATGGGGCCCGTATTCATCATAGGGTGCATTTGTGGCGGCCAGTACCCGAACGGCGGCATGCCGTTCTGCCAAGGGTTATCGGGAACCTGTCTTCTTGACATGATACAGCCCGCAGAAGCGTGATCCGAGGTCGAGTGCTGCTGATGGTGGATTCCCGAGGGAAAGAAAGAGAATAAAACATTCTTTTTATGGCGACTCTTCGAGATGCTCTGAAAACGCGTTACACACTTCTGTGAGCGAATGACGCAGGCATTCCCTAACAACTGTTTCTCGGCCAGCTCAACTTCGGCCGTTCCGGAGAAATCAGGCAGGCAACCACGACGAATACAATCAACCGTAACATTTGACTCGCAAAAGGGCAGCAAGAACATGGCTTTGAGGAAGCCATAATCCAGTCTTTTAACAAACCAAGCCAGTCAAACATCGTTGGATGCTGGCATAAGAAATCGCAGCAGGCGCTAGCGGCTCGCCAGCAATTAGTTTATTGCCTACAAATTTTACGCAGGCAGCGTTCCATTCCGCAAGATTACATTACGGCAAGAATATTTCTGTACAGCGCATAAAACAACTTTGTCGAAATCATCGGGTAATGCGGGCGCGAGACTAAGCATGGCTGACCAAACGGTCGGTTCAAACCCAGCAGTGCAGCAGGCCACGTCTCGCAAAACAGGCCTCACTGATTGCTGCAGCAGCTTAAGTGGCAGCTTCGGTCAACGTTATGTCTAACATGCACTTAGTCTTGCCACTAGGAAAAAAAAAAAAAAAACTTGGACGCTAATACGAATGGGGACATCAAAGATATTTCAGCTAAGCCATCGAAAATTTCTCCTTGCTCTGCGCGAAGTCTAGCCATATTTACAGTGATTTCGTGCAATGCAGTGCTACCGCAGCTAACAGTGAAATCACTAAGTTTGCTCAGCCACAGTTAATACATCGATCGAGATTACCAAACAAATGCGTTTTTTTTTTTTTTTCGATAGGCCTAGCGAACATTTCGTGCACCACGCCATAGCGGGTTTTCATGCGGCAGTACAGTGCTACTGCTACATCAAATCCCGAGCCCTCATCGAAGATTCACCACATTTAATATCAAGATACTACAAAAGTAATTGATATCAGAGGTACTGTTCCTACCGGTCGGTTTCCACCAGGCGCACGAAGACCACCAACGCACACTAATCACCAATGCAGAGAATACCACGATGGATGGATGGATGGATGTGGCAGTACCCACGGAGGAAGGAAGGGTGGATATGGCTGTACCCTTTAGATTGGGCGGTGGCTAGCGCCACCAAGCCGTAATACTTAATGAATCAAAAATTATATTTATTTTTTCCTTAAATAGTGAGGTTGAGGATTCGTACTTTGCAGCGAAGGGTTCGATTTTCACTCGTGCCTTGACTTTAGCCACCAATCAGATAACCTTTTTCTAGTTAATTATACCCACTAAAAGTCTATTTTGCCCTCACTGCCGCTAAACCCCAGTGCTTTGAAAAACTCTGCGCCATCAACCTGAACTACAGGGTGAAGCCCTTTACAGAACATTATCAAGTGTTCGGCAGTTTCTTCTTCCTCTCCACACGCACTGCATACCGTGTCTACCCCTTCGTATTTGGCCCGATATGTCTTGGTTCGCAATACTCCTGTCCTGGCCTCAAACAGTAGAGAACTACCCCGAGTATTATCATAGATCCTTTCCTTGGCAATTTCCTACTTAAAAGTTCGATAGACCTCTAGTGCGGACTTCTTAATCATGCCGATTTTCCACATATCGGTCTCAGCTTCCTTCACCTTCTTAACCGATAATTCTTTTTGGTTTGGCCCCCTGCTCTTTTCCAAGTATTTACCAGTCAATTTTCTGGTTCGCTTCCTCCATTTTGTATCGACATTCTTCATGTACAGGTAGCTGAATACCTTCCTAGCCCAACGCTCGTCCTTCATTTCCCTCTGTCGCTTCTCAAATTTTATCTTGCTGCTAGCTAGCTTCCCTGCCCTCAAATGATGTCCATTACATATCACCTTGTACTCTCTGATTTGGTGTATTCCCATGAGATCCTAAGGCAAGCCTACCTATTCAAAGTTGCTTAATTTCTAATCTTGCTTGAACTTCTGATCTCATGCACAAGACCGCATTGCCGAACGTCAGACCAGGAACCATGACCCATTTACTTATTCCTCTGACATCATACTTATTGTAATTCCACAGTGCCCTGTTTTTCATTACCGCTGCATTCCTGTTACCTTTAGTCGTCACGTATATTTCGTGTTCCCTTAGGTACTCAGCCCCACTGCTTATCCATACACCCAGATATTTGTGTTTATCTGTTATCTCTAGCGTGACCTCCTGTATTCTAAGCTCACTATACCTTCATTGTCATTAAAAATCATGACTGCTGATTTTTCCTTACTGAATCTGAAATCTAACCTATCTCCCTCATTACCGCAGATGTGCACCAATCTCTGCAAATCTTCCTTGTTGTCAGCCATTAGCACTATATCATCTGCGTACATCAATGCTGGTAGAGTCTGTTCAATGAGTTTTCCTTGTTTGACGAAAGAAAGTTTGAAGCCCAGTCCACTTCCCTCTAATTTGGCCTCTAATCCTTGTACGTACACCATGAATAATAGGGGTGACAGGGGACACCCCTGCCTAAGCCCCTGTTTGACCTCTGCAGGCTTGGATACGTGTTTTTCCCACTTTATAACTACCTTGTTACCTTTATAGATATCCCTTAAAAGATTAGTGACTACATGTTCCACGCCTAGTGTGTCCAGTATTCCCCACAATTTCTCTTGAACCACGCTATCGTACGCTCCCTTGATATCCAAAAATGCTAGCCACAGGGGCCTGTGTTCCTTTTCTGATATTTCGATGCACTGCGTCAGTGATAACAGATTGTCTTCCAACCTCCTGTGTTTCCGAAACCCATTCTGCAGTTCCCCCAGCACCCCCTCATCCTCTATCCATGCCTGCAGTCTTTCCTTTATAATCTGCATCGCCAGCCTGTAGACCACTGATGTCACTGTTATAGGACGGTAGTTGTTTATGTCAGCTTTGTCTTCCTTTCCTTTATAGATCATGCTCATCCTGCTAAGTTTCTATCCGTCGGGAACTTCCCCATCGATTATTGGTTTGCTCACTTCCTCTTTCAAAGTCTGCTTAGACTTCGGACCTAATGTATTTATCTGCATAGTTGGAATGCCATCTGGGCCTGTTGATGTACTACATACTCAGTACTTTTTTTTAGGGGTGCGGGTAGTGCAGCAGAACGACCAACTTTGAGAATTGATGGTCGCTGTGAATCCGTGTCAATATTTTAGTATACCCTGAAAAGTTAAATTACAAAAACATTTCGCGATGTAGGGGTTCAGATTCCCTTCCTCGCCCCTCTACTTACGGCCTCCTGGTTCTGCGTGCGTTTGACACAGTATTTTTTTTTCACCCCACAGCTTTCTGAGCGCAGCTAACTTGCAATAAATCGACTCAGTTATTCTAAGTATTGTAGACACCTGCTCAACGAAGAAAAAGTTGAGAGAAGAAATCGAAATGAGACACGCCCTTTCTAAATAATTTTCGATCTCTCACAAGGACTTTTATAGAGCTCAAGTTCAGTATATTGGCGTATCATACTTCAAGGGTTATGACATCATGTGCTAGACATGAATGATGGGCAGGTACGAAGAAATCTGCATCAAAAAAGCGCACCGGAGAAGCCGGAGCGCATAGCAGTTGCTGCGCGTGGCTCTTTCAGTACTATTCGACTGCAGCGTCACCACTACGGGCAACGCGGAAGGCATCAGGCGGCGAGGCGCGGTCACGCCACTTAACACTTCTAGTACACTCTAACATAGTTATAAAAGTGTCTACGCGGGCTCCTTCCGCGGCGCTTGTACACCCATGAGAATTATGGGAAGTGCAGGCTTCGGATCTGCTTCAAGTAGATCACGTTCTATAGATTCATGACACTTCTTTTCCGAGTGTAAAACAAAGTAATATGAACTTATATTTAATTGAAACTTGCTTCAATTATTTGTACGCACACTTTATTGCAAAAAATTTTTGTAACCAGGCGGCAAGTGTGAAACCTGGGGTGCTATGCTATGGTGGCTAGCTGGGCAAATTCAACCAACAGAGTGTGCCAGAGTTATTCAATCATACGAGTTGCGAAACCCCCAATAGGCTCCATCTATCAAAATTCATACAAGTGTCCATACATGACATTGACCAAAATGACGGAAGTGAACAGATTATAGCGCTACCTTTGGACAGCAAGATCCACCAGAAAACGCAATGTTTTGGTTTTTGTGGTTAGCAAGATTGTGAGCGCCATCGCATTCAGCCAAACAGCATGACAGCTAGTTATAGCACGAGAACAAAACGACGACACAGAGACAAGAAGAACACGAAGGACACGAGCGCATGAGTAGCTTGAGTAGCGCTCGTGTCTAGGTGCTGTCATGACAGCACCTAGAACTTGTATTTAGGTGAGTTGGTGCCTAACCCCCGTATTCACAAACGCTCCTCGACTCGACTTCCACCTTTCTCTTGACAAAGTTGAGCAATGCGCCACTGCTCGGCTGAAAATGACGCTGTGCCACTCAACAATTGCAGCAGATTATTGCTGATATGCAGTGACTTGCCGTGCCTAGAAAAGGCGCTTCCATCGGCTTTCTCAAGTGAAGGTTACAGTTAAACCTTTTCACAGGGGGGAGAAAAAAAAAAAACACCGCTACGATGGGCTGCGCGCGGGAGTACAAAGGCTAAGGATGCAGCCTTGTCAGTGCATTTTTTAGGGGTCAGACATAGCCTCCTTTATTTTCTGTGCCCGCGCAGTCAGTCCGCCGGGCCCGTTCGGCCGCCTCCCGCATCCTCCTCTCTTTTTGCGTCTGCTGTCCGCCAGGGGCGCTCGCATCCCAGAATCGAGTTAGAGTCTGGTTAGAGTATTGGTGGCAGAAAATTAGAGAGAAAGGACAAAAATAAATATTGGAAAAATAAAATATGGACAGTGTGCCGTAAATGGCAGAGAACTTAAGCTGAAAATTTACCTTTTTTCCATTAAGATAGAATTTATCGAAGTAGAGGCATTAGGCCAACATAAAAAAAAAGGAAAAAAGATTTTTTTTTTTTGTCGAGCCTGGTGGCATACTTGTCACCACCCCGTTATAAAGGGGACGCTCATAGCATCCATCCATCCATCGAGTCGGCGCATTCAGCCGCGGCGATGCATCTCCAGGAAACCTTTGTTCGTGTCGCATACGTTTGCAACACCAATTATTTACGACCAAAACGGTACGTAGTACTTTCAGCAAGTATAATTGTAACTGTTGCTTCATTGTGTTGCGTGAGCAGATGACACGCGGCATTAACTGAGTGCGTATAAACAAACAACGTCGTTTGTACCCCGCGTTTGCACGGCCGTTGTCAAGCGCGGCTATCATTTTTCGCGCTTCTTTCTGGCAATACTTTTCCGCGCACCTATCTTCGCAGCGTAGTACTTTCAGCAAGTATGATATTTAACTGTTGCTTCATTGTGTTGCGTGAACAGATGACACGCGGCAATAAGTGAGTGCGTGTAAACAAACAACGTCGTTTGCACCTCGTGTTTGCAGGGCCGGTTTCATGCTTTGCTATCATTTTTCGCGCTTCTTTCTCGTGAGGCTTTTCCGCGCACCTATCAGCGAATTTCGCTAAGTAAACAGGAATGTTAGTTTACGGTTTCTCTCGTTTCTGTCTCGTGCAGCGGCCTACGCACACAAGTCTCCGTGGTTCATTCGACTGTGATGACCCGCGTCAGGTGCGATGGCGTACTGTTGCGTGCCCGGTTGCAAGTCTTCAAGCAAAAAGAAGGAAGTAGGAATTTCATTCCACGAAATTCCAAGCGACGAGGAGTTTTGACTTCGTCCTGCGGCCGCTTCTCCTTTTTTGCCTTTCTATGCTCCCGTGATGCTTCGCGTCGCTTCTCGATCGCCTCCCGGATTTCCTTGTTCCACCAACTTTTTGGCTTCCTTTTTCCTTTCCAGCAAACGGTTTTCTTCTCTTTCCCTATCTCCTTCGTCATTAGATGTAACAGCTCCCTATACTCCCAGTCTTTGCCTGGTATTTCGCCTACTTCTTCCTCGACTCTTGCGGCTATGTTTATTATTTGTTTGTCATTTAAATACGAGCTGCCAGACTTTA